GTGCACCACTTCTCAAAACTTGGAATCGGATGGATTTCGTCACCTTCACTTTCTGTTCCGCACTTACATTCCCTGTAGTACTTGCTTTTGTTTGGTTTGGTTTGTCTGTGCCGTGTTGCTTGCTAGATCTTAGTTCCCCGACCAGGGATTGAACCTGGGCCTATGGCAGTGAAAGCACCGAGTCCTAACCACTGGACGGCCAGGGAATTCCCACCTCCCGTGTGCAATTAAATATGTGTAGTTTCTTTTATGTCAGTAGTAGCTCAATAACGCTGTAAAAAATAACAATGCTAAATGTTTGATGGAAAACAGTTTCCAAGTGATTTTAGTCTGCCATTTTGCTAGAATCCAAATGGTCCTCTTTCAACAGAGAAGGTTAGATTCTGTAAGCATTTACTAGAAGTTTGAGCATATTAAAATACTAATTTAATTATGGAAGAATTTTAAAAAGAAATAATTACTAGAGGTTTGAAGAGGACAGTATATACAGGGTTTTGTAATGAGACCTAAGATCAAATCTTGGTTCTGTCATTTCCTTCCTGTGTGTTCTTAGATAAGTCACTTAACTTCTCTGAGTCCCAGTTTCTTAATCTATAAACCAGGAATAAAATCTACAGAGCAGAGGTTTATAATGATAATAAAAATTGCATTTGCAAAGAGCCTTCTAGAGGGCCTTGCCTAACATAAAAGCCAAGAATTATTAGTTTCTTTTTTAAATTTTACATAGCTAGACCCCCTGACAGAGTCACTACACCCTTTCCTGGCTACAACACAACACAGCCCTTAGGAAGCGTAATACGAGATAATCTCCCAAACTCCAAGAGTAGGTTCTACGAATTGTTCAATTACAAAGTTGGCCTGGGCTATTCAGCGTTCAGAGCAAAGCCATTTTTATTGTAATGAAATTTTAAAAGGCAGTTACATTAGTTACACATATACACAACTGACTTAATAACTGTTAGTCATAGAGAACATTCAAGCAATACAAATGATGATTTATTCACAGCACAGTTCACATTCATAAGAAGAAAGGTTAAAAGAGAAACGATTAAGTGCTTAAATTGTCCACTGAAGCTCATCTGTGAACTCTCTCGCTTTTGAAGGAAAATGAGATTGTTACTGGTAGCAAGCTGGCCTGGTCCTGTGAAACCCCCCCCTTTTCCCACCTCCACAGTCACTGGCCCATAGGCTCTGGCCCCAAGACCCAGGCACACCTACATGTGAAATTGTGCCTGCATCGTTGTGTGATGCCGCTTCAAGTTGCCCCAGACGCCTGGCAGCCGGGGAAAAGGAGGACAGCCAGTTCCCTTCATATGCAAGATGAGAATCTGGCACAGGGGGAAGGGTTGCAACTGACAAGTTGGGTTGTCCCAACTTGTCAGGGCACAAGTCAGGGCACAGCGACCTCATGACCAAACCCATACTTTCTAGTAGAACAAGGAGCATTTCCATCCTGACTTGTTACTGGCTAGGGCTGTTAGGTGACTGGCTTGGTCTTGCTAATATGACAGGTCGTAACTGTTAGGGGGCAGGTGGGCCCAGGGGGGAGAGGTTCACTGCTCATCTGCTGGCCCAGGTACTGATGTGTCTGGAAGGGAACACACTCATTTCCCCGGGACCTGCCTCGTCTCTAGGCCAAGCCCGGCCGCAGCACTGATAGCGTCCAGAGTGGCTCGTCTGGGGAACACGGTCTCTTTATTGGCACAGGAGATCCACGCTCCCCAATGTCTGTTCATCAGCTATCAGAATCCTACTCGTTGCAACAGGTATTCAGGAAACAACAGAAGGGTTGAATTTGATAAACCGGGAAGCAGAGAAGAATGTGGCTGTTTGTGATGCTCTATTGCTCCCTGAAACCAAAACTAAAGACAAAGCTAGTGGGGAGCAACACAGAGGCAGGGTGTTCTAGAACCTCCGGAGCCACTGTCGCAGTTCCCTAACCAAGTCCAGGCCGAGCCTCAGCGTGGCTGCGTCTGCGTCCTCACCAATGGTTCAGGCTGCCACCATCTGGCCCTTTTGGGTGGAAAGCCTTCTGCTCGCTCAGCCTAAGGAAAGCCAGCCGAAGGCCTAGTAGCTGTGAGATGAGGTGTGTGTGAGGAAGAGAGTCCCAGAGCCAAAGTCCTAGGTGTTGCTCACCTTCCCAACCCAGCTTTGCCTCCGTCTCCAGTAGCAGAGGGATCAGGGCCAGAGGCCACGCCCACGCAGGGGCCGTGGGCATCCTGGCCTCCTGGCTGGGCGGGACTGGCGAGGGAGGTTCTTCTGCAAACTGGGGTAATTAGACCCTCTAGGGCTTTAATTCTCACTCCAGTTTGTCTTAAAATTCCTTGGGGAGAGAATCCCTCAGATGTGGGATCCTCTGGGTCTTCTCCGTTCCTTAATGGCTTCTAAGAATCACAACCAAAGAGTGGAATGGGGAATAGAGAAAATAGAGAACTCGAGCTGTGGGTCAGATTGCAGTCAGACTCCCCTCGCGGGCTCTGGGGACAAAGCTGGAAGGGGGACGTTGGGCCTATTTAGTCACGATGCTCCCCCTTTATGTCTGGCTTTCAGTCGCCCATGAATCCTTGTCTTCTAGAACTGAGTGGTCCTCACCCTAGATGCTGTGTAAGTGGATGAAGTAGATGAAAGGTCCCTGGGGGCAAGGCTGTCCTTCTCTTTTTTTTTTTTTTTTTTTTTTTTTTTGTGGTACACGGGCATCTCACTGTTGTGGCCTCTCCCGTCGTGGAGCACAGGCTCCGGACACGCAGGCTCAGCGGCCATGGTTCACGGGCCCAGCACGTGGGATCTTCCCGGACCAGGGCACGAACCCGCGTCCCCTGCATTGGCAGGCAGACTCTCAACCACTGCGCCACCAGGGAAGCCCCCTCCTCTGTCCTTTCGCATCCCCTCAGCACCCAGCACAGCCCAGGTGGGCTGGGCCTAGTCGGCGTGCCGACCAGTGTGTACCCCTCAGAAGATCCCCAAGTGCCCTCTGAAACCAGAAGGAAAGACAAACATACCCCCATCCCCCGCCAACCTTCCAAACCCAGAGACGAAACGCCACAGGAAGTCCACTTTCATTTCACTGAGAAACCATTCATGATCCAAAAGCTATTCTTGTGCCTTTCTAGGAAATAATTAAGCCCACCGCCTGAGGCAAGATCAGGGCTGGGGGTAGGGGTGGGCAGAGGTGGCCCCAGGGGCAGGGCACGCCCCGGAGCCCTTTGTGGGTCTGGTACTGACAGGGTGTGTGGAGTTTCAGCCACATGCCATTTTCCCAGAAGCCAAAAGGCTCCTAAGGGTGGAAGGATATCATGTGCGTCTAAACCCCACGTCCTATCACCACTACATACAAAAGGATTAAGAGCCACTCTAGAAACTGTAACGTCAGTGTTAATTTAGAGCCTAGGAACCGGGATCACACAAAGCTACCGGACAAAGGCATTCTCCTGAACAATGGTGGACTATTGTAGCTGGAGCTCTCCAGCCAAGACTCGGCACACACCCCCTCTGGGTGCCAGCCAGGGCTGGGCTTTTAATGCAGAACTTTCAGAGGATGAGAGCAAACGCTCTTCCCTGGCTCCTTGCTGCGGGCCAGGCTCACTCCCCACTCAGGCAGCCTAGAAGCAACTCCATTCTGCAGGGCCCTGTTGTTTCCCAGCCAGGTGCCTGACAGGGGTCACCGGAAGGGAAGGCTTTCCCCGTGAATGGGCTCCTCCAGCTGCCCCCTTTGGGAGTCGGTGAGCTGATGGGATGCTGATGCAGGACAGGAAAGGAAGAGAACATGAGAGTTTCTTTCCTTAGTGTCAAGGGCACGCGAGGGGCAGAGGTAAGTAAAAATGGAGGGATGGATTCTTCAATTGACTTCCTCAAATCTGAGGGAAACACAGCAAGCCAGGGACCGGGGGCTCAGAGGTCAGCCAGGTAGAAGCTTCTAGAAGTCAGCTCTTACTCTTTCTTGAGACCACCTGAGGAATTCAAGGCCCTGGCGAGTATGCGGCAGAATCAGAACTGGAACCAAAACCGGAGCCGGAGCCCCGCAATCCCCCCCCCCCCCCCCCCCCCCCCGCCCCCCCAGATGCCACCGTTCCCAGCCGGCTGAAGAGAGGACGCTCGGGCGACCTGGTGGGGAACGTCTCAGAGCTCCCACCTCCATGCACAGGGTTCACCCACCCCTCAGTCATCTCCAGAGCTTGGTCCCAGGAAGGCACCCTGTGGCACAGAAGGACCGGGAGGCCTGGGCGCCCTGCCCTCCCCCTTACACCCCCATGGGGGCCAGGGTCTCTGTGAGCTCAAGGGGTGCTCCCTGCAGCCATCGGGCGGGGACAAAGCCCGGCTCTCACCAACAGGGCAAGGATGAGAAACCTGGCGGAACCAGGAGAGGCCGCTCTTCAGACACGGAGAGGAAAGGGCGGGCACTCTCGTGGGCTCTGAATCTGCACGCCGGGGGGCTTGGACCAAAGAACTGACCCGTCAAAGTGAGCCGCTCCCGGCCAGGACTCCTGGTGACGCTGTCAAGTGCCCGTCTGCTCAGGTCAGCCTGTCCGCCCGGTGCCCAGGCCCTGGGCCCTGCTTCCTCCGGCCACAGGGGGTCCTGCTCAGCTTAGACGGGGCTGCACATCCGGATGTCACTCTCGCCACACACCCTGGATTCTAGACCCTCACTGTGGCCGCACACGACAGACACGGGGCACAACACATCCGTCAGGACAAGGATTCACATCACACTGCACCACGTACACACGTCTCACGGCACGACGGACGCACAGACAGACGTGGCTGAGACAGGGCCCAGAGGAGCCGGCGTCCCCCCCGGCGTCCCCAGGCTCCTCCTCTCCAGCTCCGAGAACAAAGCCTGTGCATCCTGTTCACCTCTTTCCCCAACACCCCCTAAGCCCCACCCGGACACAGGAGTTAAAGGCCAGAAGAAACCAGATTCCAGCTTCCTGGGCAGGCCTGAGGGTGCCACTCGGGCTCTCTGAGCTGTAACTGAACTTTTTATAGATGAAAATTGTCTAATATGAGATTATTCACAACCAGGTTTTAAGAACCCAATGGGCTCGCCTCCCAAGCACAGACAGGTGAAGTACAGTAAATACTACCAGCCCCCAACGTCTACTGGGCTCCTGGTCGGTGGCCGAGCAGCTGCAGCTGTGGGTTAGAAGCTGAGCAACACCACGGCAGTGAGGGGAACACGGGGGGCGAGATGTCTTCTGCTGGGGGGTCCCGCGGCAGGGCAAGCAGGGCGCGGGGGGGGCCCCGTTCACGTGGGCGTAGATGTCACAGCATGGGGGGCACTGCCCGGTGGAAGCCTTGCTCTGTCCGCAGCTACTCAGAAAACGGCGGGAACATGCCCAGGTCAGCAAAGTCTTCAATGTTATAGTTGCCGGTCCCCTGGGTTGGATCTCCTGGCATGGGCAGCATGTCCTGCAGGAGAGAAGAAAAGAAAGGGCAGGGGAGTCGGCTCATCCTTCTGGACACCGGCACGTCCCAGGAGCCCAGCCTGCCAGCCACCCTCACGGTCATCTCTCTAAGGGGGCGGCCCAGGAACATGCCACCGGCCACCTGAGGGATGCTCTGAGACGGTCCTCAAATGTCTGAGATCCTGGGAAGCTGTTGTCTCCTGGGAGCTGTCATTCCAGCACACAAATACAACGTCAGGACACGACATTTCTCTATTTAAAACTGAGCCAGGACACAGGGTGGACAAGAGGCCCACTGGTGGGGAGAACCCAGCTTGGGGCCAAGCAAGGTACATACAACCGACGATCAAAATGCAGCAGCACTGCAACATGGGGAGGGGCAAAAGGAGGGCTACGTGTGTGAACAGCTGAGTGGCCTGTCTTCACTGTATATATCTAGGGCAAGGCCAAATCCCTGCAAGGTTAGACTTCACCTTTAACAAGTCCTTCAAGTTCTCTGGGCCTCAGACTACCCAACCAGAAAATCCGAGGAGCTATGTTTCCATCCCTTATGGCAAATGTCCCAAGCGTGCTGTGTCCAATTCTTGGCCCATGAGATACTCTGGGAGGAAAGAATTCTGTGGACAAATGAGTTTGGGAAACAAGGTATACTTTGCCTACCTCCTAAAAATCCCCAGTCCTCGTTAGTATAATAAAGGCTCTGATAAGTCCTGCAGTCAAGAAACCGAATAAGTCTGTTTAATCATGTTTCACAAACTTATTTGACCAAGAATTCTTTTTAGCATCGCGACCATGAAGAACCAGGTTAGGGAATTCTGCCTTACATGGCAGTTGTGAGGCATAAGAATGGGCCGGGGCTGAGCCTTATGGATGGAGGAAGGAGGGGCTAATCATTATAGGTCAGGGTACCTCTCTGCATATGTAAAAGGATCCTGCCCCTTTGCGGACCTGGAGTGACATCTGGGTTCTAGACCTTTGTCTCTGAAGATGCTGCTCGACCTGGTGGGAAAGGTGCTTGGGATGAGGGTGGGGTAAAGGGAAAGCTCTCCCTTGAGAAGGGGGATCTTAGTCTGCGGGTCTCAGAGCCCTACCACCAGGTGCTTCCTCCCCCATCCTCGCTCTGCGGGGCAGGCTCTGGGACATGACAGAAGGCACCTGGGGCTCCCTCATGAAGACCTGGTGGGGTGGATGGAGCATAAGCCCGTTCATGTCCCCCAACAGGAGCCTTTCCCCAGTGAGAACTTTTCTGGCTGAGAAGTGGAGCTCCGAACACCCCGAAGGGGCTGCGTCCTGCACCACGGGGCTGCCGGCAGCGTCCACTGCTGCTGCACACTTAGGTCAGGGCTGCCCCGGGCGCAAGGGATGGACCAGGAATGGCTCAAAAAACTCAGAGTGGCAAGGCGCCCAGGCAGCCTCACGAGAAGAGCCGAGCCTCCTACTGGACCCCCCCAAGTCAGGGCTACTACCTTCCCTGGGAGGGGCCGGCACTCACAGTCTCTATCGGCAGTCGTGCTGTGGCAGGGAGGCAGAGACCGAGGGGGACAGGGAGCAGAGAGAGGCGCCGGTACCTACGAGAAGGTGCTCGCTGATTTACCTGGAACACTTCAGTCTGACCCGGCGGCTGGTGGGACGGCTGCTCACCGCTCTGCTGTCCGTGGTGCTGGCTTTGCCACTGCGACCAGACTTCCGAGGGCCGCCCTTGGAACTGCCCGCTACCTTGTCCACTTTCAGCTGAAAGATCCGACGCACAGGACACTTCCTTTAAAAGCCATCCCGTGGCTCTGGGAGACCTAAGAACCACTGCAGCCCAGAGGGTCCCACATTTCTGAAAGGCGCGTTCCATCCAGAGCTGGCTGACTGTGTTCGCTGTGCCCCTCTCTCTCACGCTGGCTGATAGATAAGAAGTTGGCTGTGCACCCGAGAGCTGGATGGGTGAAACAGGAAAGGGGGCTCTCTGGCGAATGGCGCAGGGACCGGCTGGACAGGGTGGCTCTCCCTGCGTGCACCTGCCAGGTGACCCAGGCCGGAAGCCTCAGAGCCCTCGGCCCTCTGTGATCACTGTTGGAGGCTTGTTTCCGTGGGGCCTGTCTGTGGCTGAGAGCAGCCCTCTCCTTGACATGCACGAGAAGGGAGAGGCGGTCCCTGCCACTCTAGACGCCCCTGAGCTCACAGGCCGCTCCTTAAAGGAACCTGGCCCTGACAGAGGAAGAGCCTCACTCAGCAAGCCCTGACCTCCGGCAGCCCCGCTGCCTTTTGGGCAACTTGGTTGAAGCCACATGGGGCGTTCCACAAGGTCCTTCCACGGGGGTCCAGAGCCATGGCCCTTTCTGCCCATCTCTTTAGCTGAGGGTCTCTCAGCACCACTGGTTTTGGAGGAAAGGCAGTTGGGTGCAGCTTAGACAAGAAGACAGGTCTCTTTGTGGGAATCAGCAAATTATAATTTGTAAGTGAGAGCAACCTTGCTTCTGTCTACACTTTACAAAAAATACCCAATGGAACAACAGAAACGAAGAAAAATGAGCAGAATTTTGTCTAAAACATTTAAAGATTCAACCCGAGGGGGTAGTTTATCCTAAGGTGCATAAAAAAAAAAAACCCACAGGAACTTCTTCTTGTTCCAAACCATTCAATAACGTTTTGGAGGCAATGGGCTCACTGTCAAGCTCTGGGTGGCAGGACAGGCCCCATCGTGGTTCCGCTTGCTCTTTCAACAGTCCTACCGATCCCAGGCGACCCTACACACCACCTGATGAGTGAACACTGGGTTAATCTGGGGGATGGCTAGACAGTGCGCAGGGGGAAGAATCAATCCCTCCTTCTCACACACATACATCTCACCTACTGCCTGAGATATAAACGGCTTTAATAAGACATACACTCCCTTGAAAGCTTCACCACTGGTGCCATTCAAGCTCTGCACGATCACAGCTGGTAAAGGGGTTTAGAAAATCAGGGAAGGATACAACTCCCTATTTCAGCACAAGAGGGATTTAAATCTGTCGTGTATGTAGGATTCTGTTGTTAAAAAAAATGCGTCTGGCTTTGCTGAAACGCCTTTACCTGAGACTCTCTCATGAGACTCCCTGGGCCAGGAGGAGCTCTTTCATAGAATCACGTCCCCTGGCCCAGTTTCGGAATGGGACAATCTGGAACAGGCCTGGTATGGCAAGATTAAATGCACAGCGGCCCCAGCTGGCGCAGTGAGGGAAGCCCCACTGGCCAGACACTCGGTCCCCATCCTGGAGGCCCAGGAGGCTAAGCACAAGCTGGGCCACCTGTTGCTCGGAGGGAGGATGGATGGACAGAGCCACCTCTGCTGAAAGCAAGGCTGGGGCACAGCATGAGGTCTGTCCTCACATATTCAGAGACGACTGCCTCTCAGGAGTCCTCCGGCTTCCTCCAGGACCTTCCTGCCACAGTGATCTATGCTGGAGTCCTGCCCATCATGAATTCATTCTCTCCACTCTTCTTTCCTACGTGGCCTGAGTGTGTCTCCCAAATTCATATGTGGAAGGTCCAGCCGTCAGTATCTCAGACTGTGACTGTATTCAGAGAAGGGGCCTTTAAAGAGGCAGTTAAGGGGACTTCCCTGGTGGTCCAGTGGTTAAGAATCCACCTTCCAATGCAGGGAACCTGGCTTCGATCCCTAGTTGGGGAACTAAGATCCCACATGCCACGGGGCAACTAAGCCCACGTGCCACAACTAGAGAGCCCATGTGCCACAGCGCAACTACTGAGCCTGTGCGCCACAGCTAGAGAGAAGCTTGCATGCCGGAACTGAGATCCCGCATGCCGCAACTAAGACTTGACGCAGGAAAATAAATAAATAAATAAATATTAAAAAAAAAGAGACAATTAAGGTGAGATGAGCTCATATGGGTGGACCCTGATCCAATATGACTGGTGTTCTTATAAGAAGAAGAAATCCGGACACAGGCACAGAGGGAAGACCATGTGAAGACCCAGGGAGAAGGTGGCCATCTACAAGACAAAGAGAGAGGCCTCAGAAGAAACCCACCCTGCTGACACCTTGATCTCAGACTTCCAGCCTACAGAACGGTGAGAAAGTAAGTTTCTGCTGTTTAAGTCACCCAGCCTGCGGTATTTTGTGATGGCGGCCCTAGCAGACGAGTACAGGCTCCTCAAGCCCCATGTCTACCTCTCCTTCCCTTTGCTGGCCATACACACAGCGTCTTCTCACCTTTCCCTCCCTCCTCCACGCTCTGCAATCACTCTGCAGCGAAGTCTGTATAGCCGAGCCCAACCCAACAGAAATTCAAATTCAATTCTCATTGTTAAGCTCTCTTGGGTATCGACACTTATGACCACCACCTTCTTGGAATTGTTTGGCTGACCTCTCCGACTACACCTGAGTTTGGTTCCACCACCTCCTACGCCACTCCTTGCCAGGTGTCCCCTGGCTCTTACATACGTCTCCACCCCTTAACATGGGCTGAATGCAGAGGTCTGAGTTAGGCCTTCCCTTTGATCAGCAGACAGGAAGGGGGCAACCTCTTCTATCCCCACGAACTGATTCATTGATTCATTGGGCAGGTATTTCCCGAGCTCCCACTCTGATCCAGCCTCCAGGCGAGTACTGTACATACACTGGGAAACAAGACAGTTCCTATATCCAAGACAGTTCCTAGGAGCTTACAGCATGGTCGGGGGAGAGGAGTAGGCAGCTATGTCCATCCAGTTGTAAGCTGTGCTATAAGAAGGTTGAGCAGAGCTGTAATAAGAAACCTCTTAGGAGGGATACCTAACCTAGTTACGGCAAGTAGAAAATGCTTTTCAGAGACTTCACTTGAGAGCAGCAGGGGAACAGTTAGTAGTTAACCAGGCGTAAGGCTTGGAGGTGGGGTTAAAAGCATTCCAGACACAAGGATCAGTCTGTACGAGACGTGGCAGTGAAGAGGGTCCGTTCCACCGAGGGACCTACAGGAGGTTCCGGATGCCAAAGGGCCCGGAGAAGTGTGACCCAGCTGGAGGGCACACCAGGGTCAGGTCCCACACCATGAGGGCAGCAGAGAACTGCTGAAGGCTCTTAGGCTGAGGTGCGTCGCACACAGGCCTTCACGTTTGGGAAGGTCACCCTGTCAGTGGACGAGGGGACAAGGTGAGGGGGAAGAAGCCCAGGTAGCATGAGGCTGCGGGAGTAATCCTTGCAGGAGGTGACAGTAGCACCAGACGTGAGGTGGAGAGAAGCGGATGGATCTGAGGTATTCTGGGGAGAGAGGTGCCAGGACTTGTGGACTGATATTTGGCTGTGCTGAGGGGCGTGAAGGGAGGACCTGGGAGTGGCAGACTCACATCTCACATCTCTGGTGGTGTTTACAGCGCAGCTTCTCTCCTAAGCTTCAGGTCCATCTGTCCACCTTAGGAGACGTGTCTAAACAGTATGGCAGACACCTTGGACCCCTCACGCCTAAAACAATCGTCCCACCTCCTCGGACAGCCCAGACGGGGACACCACGCCTGTCAACTCTTTGCTCTCACCCAGCCCTGATGTCCAGTCACTCGCTGGGTTCTGCTGCATCCCCAAACACCCCTCCGCCCAGTCTCCTTCACTCCATCCATTCTCACAGCCGCCACCAGTGCTCCGAGCCGGGCCAGCACCCAATCTCCCCCAGACCCACGCAGCTACCGGGGTGGTCTTCCTACAACGGCATCCGCTGCTTAGAAACTAACACAGTCTCCCCTCGCCGCACGCCCCCCCCCACCCCATGGGAGTTCCCTGGCGGCCCAGTGGTCAGGACCTGGTGCTTTCACTGCTGTGGCCCTGGGTTCAATCCCTGGTCGGGAAACTAAGATCCCACAAGCTACGTGGCGCGGCCAAAAGAAAACAAAACAAAAAAACACAGTCCCCCACCGTCCACGTTCCTCAGAGGGGGCACACTCGAGCCTTTGGCATATGGTCCCTGTTTTTCAAACCCCATCTCCCCCTTCTTTGTGCCCCCAGCCCCTCTCACCCTAGTCACATGCCGTTGTAGACTTACCCCCCGCCCCAAACACTGCGCACCGCTCCGTCGCTGTGCTGCTGCACCTGTGGTCTCTCTGTCGTGGGCATCCTTCCCCTGCTCTGTGCCTGCAGGAATCTACTCACGCTCAAAGTCCCGACTGAACGTGACCCTGCACGACCGATTCCCTCAGTCATTCTGTCTTCTCTGATCGTCTGCAGCACCTGCATTGTCTCTCGGGATGGTGCCCATCATACTACACTGACTCATCCCCAGATGGTGAGTAACTTAAGGCCAGAGATCTTATCTACGTCTGTCCCAGGCCTTACTGAGTATCCTGCCTGGAATAAAGGAGGCTTCAATAAGTATCTGCTGAAGGCAGGAATAAAGGAATGGAAAAAAGGAAGGGAAAGAGGGGAGGAGGCAGAAACATGAACATTCTGTACACTTTTACTTCTATTCCCCTTTGAGGCCTCCCGGACATCGCTGACTTATAATGAAACAAAAACACATTCTCTCATCAGTCTTCCTCGGTGACAGCCAGAGCCAGGGTAGGGTGGAGGGGGCAGGAAGATTAGAGGAAGATTAGCTCTCCATTTGTATCTGGGGGTGATTCTACTAATTACAGGGACAAGATTGCAGAATAAAAATTCTTAAACTTCTGGGGAGGGAAGTGCTCTTCTTAAATGTGTGCAACAGAAAAAAATCAATTAACTGGATTGCTGTAGAAACAGCATAGACTAGCTAAGGAGGGAGGGAAAGGACTTAGTA